AGAATCAGTAAGGAAAGAAACCCAAACTAATAATTCTATTGTAAAGAACAAACACAAAATAGTAAGAAATTAATAAGCCTATCTCCAAATGTAAAATTTCAAGGAGCACAAAATACAACTTTCCTCTTTCCTCTAAAACATCTAAAATAATACACTCCGGGGCTGGGGATTTAGCTCAGCAGCAAAAGCGCCTGCCTGGCAAGTGCAAGGTCGTGAGTTCGGTTCCTGGTACCGGAGAAAAACCAAAAAAAAAAAAATAATACACTCCATTCTTCATTTTCCAAAGTAAAAGTTTGTGTTCTGCTCTACATAATAAATTAAGCACATTCCCAAATGAGATGACTTTAACTTTTTTTAAATTTCAGATTAAGGATTCATTTTAGTATTTTCTGATTTGGCCCAAAAGTCCTAAGACAAAGCAAAGCATCAGCCTAAAGTCTTTGACCCCAGACATTTAGGCTGTTCATCAACACTGCTTGTGACATCTCTGGACCTACAACAACCACAGCCACTGTAACAATCAAAAAGAGAATGAGAAATGTGGGGAAATTTGTTCCACGCCAAATGTTTGCACCGGTCCCTTATGCTACTCTCTCCATAGTTAATACCACTGTGGAGCTAAAATAGAACATTCCTAGTTCCACGACTTTTGAACTGCGAAGTTTATATCCCTAAAGATGGTGAACTGCAGAAATGCAAAATCTCAGGCACAGAATGTGCTCCTTTGGTGCAATAGTAAAGCATTATAAACACTTTCTATATTAAAACAAATGCATGATAGAAATTAGGATCAAAATTCATATGAAGCTTTAAGATTGTGACTGTAAAATCTATGAGCCACTTTGTTTAATCCTCACAAGAACCCTCTGGGATAGGGATATTATCTCCATCACACAAGTGAAGAAACTGAAGCTTAGAGAAGCCAAGTAAATTATGCAAGGGCGTATAATTATTTTCAGTGGAGCGACTGTAACCCAAGGGTCTAGTTTCTGCAACCCAGAACACGAGACTTCATAAGGCCTAGGAGAGTTAGAACGACTATGAGTAAAGCAGACCTTCATAAGGCCTAGGAGAGTCAGGATGACTATGAATAAAGCAGACTATGTAAACTGCTGAATCAATGAGCTGGAAGTGGAAAAATAAGAGACAGGCTGCTATAGTTCTGCCTGCTTTCTAGCTCCTGGCAGGCCTCACGGATGGTACAGAGATCTCCCTGTAATCATTTGCAGTTATGAGTTTCTGTTACTTCCAAAGCAAAACAAGGACAACGGGCAACACGGTGGAAAGAAAAGAGAGGTGAAAGGTGCAGTGTTCCCTTCCACTTGTTATTTTTGTTGAGACACCTATATCTTTCCCACACAGACCAGAACTACAGAAAGTTGACCTCACTCCCAGTCCCAGGAGCAGATTTTGACTGATCAAGGCAAATCCACTTACAACATTCCTCTGAACACTCTTACTGGTCCAGAACAGAGCAGGTGATCCAAGTTGACTCAGTTGGTCTCAGAGAGAGTAGTTCTCCATGTTCTCCCTCTCATGGCTGTCCCCAACTAATCAATAAACACAGCAAAGAAAGACGCTGACCCTAATTCCCCTAGCAGCCCTGAGGAATCCAATCTTGAAAAAAAAAAATATATATATATATATATATATATATATTATATATATATATATTTATATAAAAGCTACAGGAGGAAAATGTCAGATGCAGTTAGTAAAGAATGAAAACATATTTGAAAGCCAGGCATGGTGGCTGCATGCCTGTAATCCCAGCACTCGGGAGGCTGAGGCAGGAGGACCATTGCGGATTTGAGACCAGCCTGGGCTACAAAGTGACCTCAAGGCCAGCCTGAAGTGCATAGCGAGACCCTGTCTCAAAAAGACAAAAAAAACAAAAACAAAAACAAATGTGTTTGAAATATCCAGGTGTCCAAGAACACGGCAGGGGTAGGGCAGGTTGGGGACAATGTAGTTCTTGCCACAACCACCAAGAGGACTGTGGAAGCCGAAATCAGATCTCTACCAAGAGACACAAAAGAAGAATCACCAGTTCTATAGGAATCTTTTCCAAGCCTAGCTCTGAAAAAGGAGCCTACAGGCCGAGCAGAGACAGAGTAACATCTGGTTTCTGGTCACACAACCACACCTGTGAACCAGGTGAAAGTCTAATTTTAAGCTTGAAAGTCTAATTTTAAGCTCAGCACCCATAATAGGTGTTTGTTTTGTTTTGTTTTCCTTTGGGAAAAAAAAAACTGTTTCATCTTCAGGGTGCACTAACTGGCCATTACTCTTACCTTCCCTCACAAAGGAAGAAAATAAGTCATAATGTGTCTTCCGTTTGTGGATGCCCCATATTCCAACTCCCAAACTGCCCATTCGTTTAGAATGTCTGCCTAAATGACTCCAAATCCATTCAAGAGCTAAGGGAAAATACTTTAGAATCTGGATCACAGCTTCTGTATCTCCTATCCTGTTCAGAAACCTCCCAGAGCTGAGTGTTCCTGAAAAGACAAAACCCATCCTCTACACCAAGGATCCAAAATACTTGACCTCTGAGATAAACCCTTCCTCCATACATTTCCATATTTTTCCTCACTGCTTGTCCAAGGTGGAGTTATGATACCTGGATTCACATCTTGGCTCAGCAATTTACTGAATGTGTCACCTGGAGCGAGTTACTTAATTTGAACCTCAAATACTGCACTTGACATATCTAGCTTCGCCCTTGAGAAAGGAGTGTCAATGGGGATTAGTTTGCTGTATCAACGACATACAAGTGTTTGGGAGAGGATTAGAACATAATAGACCAAAGAAGAAGAAAAAAGTGTACCTGGTCAAACCTTTTAATAAAGGAGTCTGACCAGAGATGCCAAAATATAAAACACACATGACCTTTAAACCAGAAATCCTATTTTACTCAATCCATCTTAAATTGAGAAATGTGGAATCACAGAAATTTTCATTACAACACTATTTGTGTGGAATAGCCAAAACTTCAGAAACAACTTAAGTGTCAATTAGGAATGTACCGAGAAAATTATGCAAATAGGTACTACCTGTAGGTGGGAGAATTTGTTTTCCAGAACTGGTTAATATTTTTACAACAAGCATATGTCCTTTATTCCCAAAATCAGAATGACTTTTAAAACTAATTTTTTAAAAGCATACAAAGTAAGAAGGTTTCTAAAGGGCTTTTTCCTCTGGATTCTCAGGGCTAATTATCATTTTACTATAATAAATAAAGGTTTAATTCAGCTTTTAAGACTAGCCAGCATCTGCCAAAAAAAAAAAAAGCAGATAAAACAAAAGATGTTTTTTGGCATAAAATCAAAAAAAGTCTATCTTTTCACCATTTCTGCATATAAAGAAAAGAACCCTATTCTCTGGCCACATACTTTATAATCGCAACCACCTTGTCCTACAGGAGCTGTTGTCACAAGGGAAACTAGGAAATAAGTAATGGGTAGCTCAGAGCGAACCTACTCTGATGCTAGGAAGACCTGGTATTCTCATTCATCCACTAGGCGGCTGTGGGAACATCCTAGCATTATCACTACAGGATCACAGTCATCGGAAGCAGTGGTTATTTGAAAAAGTATTGGAGCGTAAGAGTGGATTTTAGATATTGGGGCTTTAATTATTTGGGCTTGAGGACTTTACTATTTGCATCAAATTGATAGGTGTGTTTTAAAAAAAATCAGAAAGCAAAAAAACACGGTAAATCTTCCTCTGAAATTGTAGTTCACAGCAATCACTACTATTAACATTTATGGCCTGTGTTCCTTCTGTGTTTTGTTGCTGTTGTTTTGTTTTCTTTTTTACTAGTACACGTTTGCTGTACATGAAATTTGTATTCCTCATGGGGAGCAGGTACATGTACATAACATAGCTTGGTACTTTCTTTAAATCCCCTTCCTGCCCACTTCCCTCCCTCCTCTGAATCCCCTTTCCTCATTTGCATTATTATTGGCATTATTTTTCTTAGCTCATACTTATGGCATATAGTGTCTACATTCATCGTGGTTATCATGTTCCTGTACGTGGCTTATCTTAATTCTTCTTACTTCCCCTTCCTTCCCCTTCCCTTCCCCTCATCCACTTTTTAAAATATACCTCAGATGTCCAATAACTGAGTTGTTGCAGCAATGATACAACTGTATATATTTATTAAACCTCACAGAACTTTATAAAGAATAATAATTTTTATTGTATGTAAATAAGATCTCAAAAATCCAACATTTAAAAGTTCCATCTAGAGAAATACCTATAGGATGAAGTGTCATATACAAGGAATATAAGTTTTACAACCAGTGTGTTCTTGTTTGTAATAAAGAGAAACTAGATGCCATGCAAATGTCTATCAAAAAGGAAGCAGACAAATAAAATTTATAACCATAAGCTTGAATCATATATAATAGTATGAAGGAATAAGTTAGATTTATTTATATATATAATCTCCAATGAATAAGGCTCAGAAATTATTTTTAAATAAAAAAAGAGAAGGGTCCAATAATTTACATAGCATAAAATCATATAAAAAATGTAAAAACCACATTACACAGCCTCAATAACTACATATACAAATACCTAAAGTATTTGTTGAAAGACCTGTAAGACTCTTCAGACTGATAATATTCACTCATCTGGTGTGAAGACGTCAGAATTGGGACAGGTGGTCAGAGAAGAACTGAGTTCTGTCACTTTTCCTTCCACAGGAAAATATATTCCTTTACTTTTTTTAAGTCAAATAAGTTTATTGCTGCAGTTTGGATATACATAATTGATCACATTCACTGTAGGGAATTTGTACCTGTGCGTGATATTTCTTAGTTCCTCTTTTTTTTCCCCATTCACTTCTGTCTACAACTCATACAAATTCCACATTATAAAGTAGAATCATAGCTTTTTCATAAGTGTGTTCATATGTACATCCCTGTACCCAAAAGACACACACACACATAGACACACACACACAAAAACACACACTCAGGTGATCTTACCAATTTGGATTTTCCATACTTTCTCTGAAGACAGACTCTTCCTTCATGGATGCATACTGTGTCCATGTAAGGCAGTGACTCCGTATATCCATGTTTCTTTCCTGAAGATTGAGCCATGATTCTTCTTCTAACTGGATACTAGGTACCTTTAAAATGCTCATCTGTCCAACAAAGGGAGGATGGCTTTCTCAGTTTAAGAAAAACTACGTAGGGACTGCTTCTAGACCTACTTTCAGTCTTGATAATAAAGAGGACAAGAGATTCTGCTATACACATGATGGCTCACCAATGGCCATAACTCTTGATAATCAAACACACTGTGACCTTACTGAGTGCTGGTGAGGACATGCAAATGGCCCAGGATTTATGTAGGCTGTACAGTCCCTGGTCTGATTTCCATAACTGCTAAACACTAAGCAAATTATCAGCCTCCTTCATGTCTCCTCTAAAGCTGGATGTGGCCTTCTTAAATTGATGAATTCTGATCAGGCCCATTTACAGGCTCCCATGTAGGACAATGTCATGTAAAATATTTTCTTTATTTTAAACTCTGTCCAATACCAAGAAATGTATGCTTTCTTAGGTGGAGAAGACATGGAAAACTACAAAGGCAAAATTGTACAAGTCAGAAGTATTCTTAAATTATTTAAGAATTGAGATACAAGACAAAGTTGAATGCCTTTTTAAATAATAGATTCAAAGTGCGTATGTAGGGCAAAGACAGGGTATGCACTCTGTGGAAAAAGGCAGTAATAATTTGCGGCTACACTGCAACACATTTACCATCTGGAAAATAAAAGAAAGTTCATTTTCATTGTCATTAGCTTTCTTTCCCCTAAGAACATGACAGTCTTTTAATCCATGTTAAGGAAGTGATGAAAGCTGCCATTTTTCCTACATACAGTAAAGCAATTTAATTTGCAAGCTAATCAGCAGGAGCCAAGCTAGGTTCTACATCACACCCAGAATCTCTTCCGGGTTAAAATAGTCACCTAACACATTTTCAAAAGTGTGCACTTACTAACAGTTTTTAAACGATTCTTATCAAGTCTCTTTATGGTTTAAGCAATACAATTAAAAATTTCCACTCACCTTTCTCCAAAAAATAATCACCAGAATGCTTAAAGATTTCAAAAAGAGAAAACAATTTTCTATCATGAAGATTTCATCATCAATAATATTACTTTACAGAAATACAACACAGAAAGGCTTCCCACACAGCACTAAGAACACTGCACTCTCAGAAATTTCTAACAGTGAATTAGAAATTAAAACTGCCTTACTTCAAACTCAGACTATTTACAACCTACCAACTTCTAATCACTTTTATCTGAGAGTCATTTCTAACCATAAAAAGATTTAAAAATATAGACACTTCATGCAAAATGCTGAAAGTATCTTTAAAATTGTTATAGAATATCTCTATATCCATTAAGAATCCTCCACAGAAGAGAAAGATAGAGACAAATTATCTCTAGTGACATGTGCCAAAACTGGGTTGGATAGGAAAACAATCTCTTCCTCTGAACAGCTATGAAGTGGGAGAAACAGGAAGTCCCAGTTCTCCTTTACACCTAAAAATGCTCTCTCTTCATGACTGTTAAGAATTACTCAATGGTACCCCACTGTAATTACATTTTGAAATGAATTTACCTTCCTTAAAATTTCTGGAATCACATTCTGACAGATTGCAATCCTCCTTCTATAGATGATTCCTGTCATTTCATCTAGAAAAAGAAATTTTTACTTAAAAAATTAATTAAGAAAATGCATTCTTGTCTTAATGTCAATAAAGCTTTAAAAGGCAATCTGAAGTTCCTACAGGTCTGAGTACAATTTCTAGAGAAAATATTGACCAAAACTCACTTTCCTTGACCATTTTTCTGAGCCAAATCATAGGTACTCCTCATCTGTGATCAAGGAATTAGGGTAAAACCACAACGAACAATGCCATGCTCTAGTAGGGATTTTAAAAAATAATAATGAATACACACTATCCCTTACTCTGGACTGCCAGTGAGAATGATTCATTGACAGTGGCCAGTGCACTTCCATCTGATCCAATAGAGAATACTTCAACAGTGAGAAGGACAATATGGTTCTGTCACCTTCTGCACTACCCTCTGAAGCACAAATTTGTGAGTACAAAGTTTAAATGTATAATTAATTGATTATACTAGCCATAGTCTTGTAGCACAGAAAACTCCCTTTGACCAGGATTTGTTTTGAAGGGAAGTTTAATGGTCGATACATTGTGTCAACTTGAAAAGTCTGAAAGCTTAACTAAGTAACTTAGCAGTTCCACATCTTGGGTGTAGACAATATACCCTTAGTTCTAGGATGCTGTTCACTGCATCAACTTGAGAAGTTTAGAAGTATAACTAAGTGATTCAGTAGGGGGTCAGGGTCCTCACTTTGTAAACATCTTGAGCCTGGGCAAGAGGAGAGCACAGAGATGGTGTGAGTGCTACACCCACCCTAGGGCAGGTAGCCTGCATGCAGTGTAAGGGAAGAAAAGAGATCCCCTACCACCACCTTTGCTCTCATTTGCTGTCTTCAGCTGCCTTGAACTATTGCCCCTCTGCCACACCACAGCTGATTATGGACTGAAACCTCTACAGACTGTGAGCCAAAGAAACTTTTCCTTCCTTAATTTTGGGCATCTGGTATTTTGTCTCAGCAATGAGAGAAAAGTAACTAAGACAGTGAAATAAATGAATAAATAAATAAATAAATGTGAGTTAAGAAAAAAAGGAGGCAGGGCAGCAAAAAAGAAAAACTTCGAAGTGCTGTCACGTGCCCTGTGAATTCATGGGACTCAGCCATTCTGCCACTGGGATTCTCAAAGCTCGGGATGTTGGAGTCCTGATCCCTGTTGCAGTCATCCTGACTTCCGGAAGCTGCTGAGAGAGTGCAAAACCTTCTGCCCATGCCTATGCTTATTCAATATTTGCAACACTCATACTTAAGATGAATTAGCCCCTCCTGGAGGCAAAGATGCCCTTAACCATGACAGAAATCAAAATTAACTCTATACCACTTTAGAATACACAACCATGTTCACATGTGATCTTCACAACAATGTAAAAACAATTATTTCTCCAGTTCACAGAGGAAGAAACTGATCCTTCAAAAAGTTCAGTCATGAAGGTAACAAAAATCAGGTCTTAATGCCAAGGAGCAAGTTTCTCCTACACTGGTGCAGGTACAAGAGAAAGTATTTTTAAATATATTTATATAGAAAATATTCTCACAAGCAAATGGCAGTTTTGAGTCAGTCAAAACACAAGCTATCTCGTGATTTCTAAGAAGGCTGAAGAACATGTTAGATCGTGGCCTGGGTGTCTCCAAAGGTTTGTGAATTGACTACATGTGCACGGTCATAGCTTCCTGCAGCTCACATTCCTTGAGTTCAAACACTAACAGTAACAACTTTTGCACTGGGGATGGAAATGACAGCAGTAGAGGTGCCTAAGCTCTCACCTAGAAGTCAGTAAAGATTTTCTGAAAAAGGCCATGTGGTAAATAATTTATGTTTTGTGGCCCATATAGACTCTCTTAAAAATACTCAAATCTGCTGTTACAGAAAAGGAGCCATAGATAATAAACAAATGAGTGTGGCTACATCACAATAAAACTTTACTTATAAAACATGCATTGCAAGTCATTATTTGTCAACGCCTTCTCCAGTCAATACTGAACCACACTGGCAGGCTCAGTTATGACTCTGTACTCTAGCTACTTTATGGTCACACTCACATATACACTATTATTCATACCTGTTTTGACATCTACAAACTGATGTATGAATGTATGATAGAGACATACAAGGTATGATAGAAAAATTCAGTAGTGAATGTTTCAATTAAAAAATATATATTACAGCAAAAGACACACTGCCATTAATCAATCACCCTCAGAATGCTCCCCCTTGCCTCGAACACACTTATCCCTTCAGGCTTGACAGCTTCTAAAGAGGTTCTGAAAGTCCTCTTTCATGTCTTTAGCTGTACTGTCACGGCTGGCTCAGTGTCCTAAATCACTTCAAAACATTTACCTTTCGTTGTCATTTTGAGTTTAGGGAAGGGCTGAGAGTCGCCGGGTGCCAGATCTGGTGAAATGAGGTGGCTGAGGACACACTGTAAGGTTTGCATGGATCTGCCCTTTCAGTGCATGACACTTGGCGGTGGCATTTACTGCATTTTTGACCACACTTTGTAAAGATACTTCCAGAACTGCTTCAGAAAGGGGCAAGAGCAATGGGATAAGTATGTTCAAAGTGAGAGAGGAGTATACCGAGGGGTTAATAATGGCAATATGTCTTTTACTGTAATGTTTTGGTTTTGGGTTTTTTTTTGTTGTTTTTTTTTTTTTTTTTTGGTATTTTTCCAGTACCAGGAATCGAACTCACGATCTCCTGCTTGCCAGGCAGGCGCTGTGCCACTGAGCTAAATCCCCAGCCCCCTGTAATGTTTTAAATTCAAACATTCATTGTATATTTTGATCACACTTCATAACCACTGTGACCTTGACTATTTAACTTCTCTGTACATCAGTTTTTTCATTCATTACATAGGAATAACCCTACTACCTAAATAAGAGTGCTTGGCACATGTTAAGTGCCCCCAAAGATTACATGTTACAATTATATGTAGTTCAATGTTATCATCAACTAGTAATTTAGGAAGTAAGAAGAGCATTATTCAAGACATAATAGCTCTCATACATACAGACACATACACATACATACATCTTTATAAAAATCAGTATCACTTAGTGATTATCATTGAAGTGAAGGTATAGTCAAAGAACTTACCTTTCCTTTCCTCCACAATTTTTACAGAGACGACATTTTTCTCCATGGGGTTGGGATACTAAATGAAAACATATAAAGAATTATCAGTCATCTTTTACTGAAGGGAATTAGTAGCAACCACAGCTATTTGCAGGACCCATAAATATTTGCCACGTAACTTCTATGTAAAGACCAGTTTTAAATCAAAATCTTAATTTCATCGTTAGGGCTTGGATAAGCAAGATGCCTGAACCTGTATGAAATCCTAACCCAGGGCAGAGAGGCTGGGATGACATTAAGCTAATTAATAAGTAATAATACTATTAATACTAGCCTAACACAAATCTACAGTGTTCTTTGTGCCACTGTGCTAAATGCTTTTATTGCATAATCTCATCTAAATCCAACAGCCACTCTGTTATGAATGGGCCATATAATATCATTTTCCCCATTTTTTTCAGAAGTGGAAACTGAACAAAGAATGGATCGCTTAGAGTCACCCGCAGGCCCTCGCTGGAGCCAAGAAATTAAACCAGGCTATTTAAAACAGAGAGATTCCTTCAGAACTGTGGCTGACGACTCAGGCCTCATTAGCTCCATTGGACTCTTTCCCCTGCAAGATTTCCTGCCTCATCCTGTGGTCAAATCTGAAAAGGAAATGAGTGGGAAGTCTCATCCAGTGCATTACAAGGTGCTGAGAGGAGTTAGAGCAAGACAAGCGGAGGATGGGTGAAGTGGGCCTTAGAGCCCCCTTGAGGAACCTGGAGGACTTGCACTCCATGTCGCCTGAATCCTGAGAAATGAGATTCAAAACTCTGAGTGTGGGCCTCCTCCACCCTACAGTCCTCCACACTCTGAGAGTGTGTGTAAGAGTCTGACTGACTTACTGATTTTCAGGGGAAAGGGTCCATCACTAATCACTATCACTATCAGATATTCTAGTTTGGGTTTTTCTGCACGGGAGAAGGAGTTCTCTGTTTGCAATACTGAGGATTGAACCCAAGGCCTCACACATGCTGCACAACCACTCTACCCCTGCGCTACACCTCCAGCTCTTTTTTTCCTGTTTATTTTGAGGCAGGGTCTCATTAAATTGCCCAGATTGGCCTTGAACTTGTATCCTCTTGCCTCAGCCTCTAAAGTAATGGAGGTTACAGGTGTGTCCACCACACCTGACTACGTTCACACATTCTTAACGATATCTGTGGCCCAAAAAGACACCACATGAAAACCTGTCTATGAGGGGAGGGATATTATCTATTTCAGTGAGTCCACCAACCAGCTCAGTGTCTGGCACGTGGTAGGCACTCAGTAACTGTTTGCTGAATCTGTGAATGATCTGAAATATCGATTTCAATGGCCTGGAGGTCAGTTTTGATGGCAGTGGCTCAGTCTTCAGCTGCCTCAACGCCTCACTACATTCCATGTTGGCAAATGTCACTCACACCTCCATCCTAGTAACTGCAATCTTGGTAACTAATGAGAAATGTAGTTTCTAAAAATGCTTCAAAAACATTTATTCGTTCATTTCAGCTCTAGGAAGAAGTGTTCAAAATTGTAATAAATGTTTGCTTGAAGTTTAGCCCTTTGACGATACATATCTGCTACTCAGCATCTGATTTAGATCTCCTGGTCCCCAGCAGAGATGTCACTTACCCCAGGCCTGTGAAACAACAGAGACATCTGACATTTACATGTGTCCCTGAATCATACATACAAATATGTAAATTATAATGTGTACACTAAAGTGAGACTATTTCCTTTACTGCATTCCATTCTGTTCACTGTGTCTCCATAAATGCATCCTGATTATTACCAATATACTGTAAGTTGTAGGGGAATTACTAAATTACGAAAGAAGTTGGAAATGTAATCAGCAGAGAAATACAGTGATAAAAGTCTTCAGGTTCTTTTTTTTTTTTTTTTTTTTGGTTTTTTTGGTTTTTTTCCCAGTACCGGGAATTGAACTCACGACCTTGCGCTTGCCAGGCAGGCGCTGTGCCACTGAGCTAAATCCCCAGCCCCTTCAGGTTCTGATTATTTCACTCAGTTTTCAGTGAAAATCCTAAAGATTATACATAATTTACATAATTTTTAATATTTGCTTATTAAGGCAAAGAGTATTTAAATAACAGTAGAAAGTTTCTAGTTATTGTTCATTTAAGTTTTTGAGTACATACAATAGCAGATACTGTTCCAGGCACTGAAGATACAGTAATGAGACAAAATCATACAGCCTCATGGATTTTACATGTTAGTTGGGGAAACAAATAATAAATATGTCAGGTTTGCTCAAGACAAAAAAAAAAAAAAATCAGACTAAGAGATGATAGGCAGATGGAAAATCAGGGAGGCACTGACACCCATTAGACAATGCTTGCAAATAAATAAAGTAAAATGGAAATTATATGAGCTAAATACAAGAGACCATGAACTGTTCACTCTAGTAAATAATTATTTGTAAGATTCAAGTCATTTCCCTATACAACAGCTTTTAGACCTGAATAAACATGAGCTTCAAGTTTCTGTACAAGAATGGTAAAAGAAACTAGAGGTTTATGTGCAATAACTAAATACCATGGGATGAGTGGCACACATTTTAACTTTATCTTTTGAAGATGTATTGAACTCAGGATTTCCCTACCTGACATAACTGGAAATAATCTGATGCCATCTTGTGGTAACTTAAATATTCATGTTTGAATCCACCAAAAAGAAAAAAAAATTTTTTTGAGATAAGGTCCCTCAACGTTGTCCAGGCTGAACGTGAACTCACAATCCTCCTGGCTCAGGTTCCTGAGCTCCAGAATTAATCAGAATTACAGAAATTACAGAATTACCCAGAAATTCAAGAAAATTTATTTGAAGTCAAATTTAAAAAAAAAAAAAAACTGGACAGAAGCAGTTTTTCTGCTCAGAAAAGATCACCACTAGGAACCCCAACCTGGGAAGACAAGGAACAGATGGACTAATTCCTGGACAGCTTTTCAAATACAGTATGACTGTGGGATTGACCATGCCCAATCAGGATCAAACTCACAGAAGACCTACTGAGTATCTACTGTGTCCATGCAGGGTGTTGTGTTAGAAGGAGCTTCCACGAACATGAAGCCATTTAGTCCTTCCCAAAACAATGAAAGACATTACCAGTAATAACACATGGAGCCTTTTTTGTTAAAAACCTAATGGCGTGATACCTGCACAGAAGCAGAGTCACACTAGGATTCTCTAGTCCCCACTCCACACTACTCTTCTAGAAGCAACGTGGTCTGATGACCTAGATTTCTGCTGAAAGCCTTTGTCTTTCTTGAACCTAGCTCAGCAGATCATAAACTTCAGTGTGCATAAGAATTATCTGTCCTACAAGCTGGGTGTGGCGGAGCGCACCTGTAATAACAGAAGGAAAATGTGAGGCCAGCCTGGGCAACTGAGTAAGACTTATCTCAAAATAAAATTTAAAAATAGGGCTGGGGAAGTAGTTCAGTGCTTCCTGGGTTCAGTCCCCAGTACTGCAAATAATAATTATCGCATGAGGCCACACACCTACCTACACCATGGATGCTACAACGGATGGGTGATTTAAGGGACTTTTTTCAAGATACATTTGACTTCATTTTAATCTTAGTTATAATTTTTACTTTCTTCACAGAATGAATAAGCTAACCCCTTCCCTTTCCCCAAAATATAAAACACTTATAAAATCAGCGTGCATGTTGTATGCATGTAACAGTCTCACAAAGGTGGACTCTCCTAAGGTGCTCATGTACTTCTGCTTTCATCTATTTCTCATACATTAAAAGGTAAGTTGCCAAAAACTGCATGGTGCTAGGAGAGAAATGTAGATTAAACACATAATTATGAAAAGCGAGACACCAAAAAATTGAGCCCATCTAATTACAGGAATAACATTGAATATACTTGTAAGTAGAACTCGATGAAGATCTGGTATTTACCTTTCTTACTCACTGAAGGACAAAAATCATAACTCAGAAAGCCTACTGTTAAGAGTAAGGAGTTCTTAAAAATGTCAATTTTCCAAAATCTCAGAAGTCGATGCCTGCTTTTTGTAACACTCCCTCAGAAGGGTCAATAGGCCTCAAAGGAGTTGTTATACACCAACTTTCAAGTGGATTTACCCAAGAGAGTACAGGGAAGCAGGTGAGCTGACAGATCTCTCTGATTATGCTGCAAAGGAAGCTGTGAAGACTAAAATAAGCCTGTCATAGTAACACATATGCATCTGCTTTATAAGCTTTAGAAGAATCTGCTACCCAGGCTGCTTCTGAACATGGACATGCAAGGGGATGGGTGTGCTGAGAAGAGCTGGTGTTTAGTTGTAGAGGTTGAGTGTGTACACACACACACACACACACACTCTCACTAGTCTGTACCAAATGCCATTTATGAGCCCCATCACATCGTCTACCTCAGAAGAAAGGCAAAGTTAAACCAAGTTAAACCAAGTTAAACCAAAGTTAGACCAAGAGCAAATGAGTCACTGATTAATCAAAACGTCAGTGATCAAAGATCAAACACTGGGCCAAGGATATAGCTCAGCGGCACAAGTGCCTGCCTGGCAAGCGCAAGGTCTTGAGTTCAGTTCCGGGTACCAAAAAAAAAACATATTTAAGTCAAGAGATATTTCAAATGCTTTTCAAATGCTCTTCACAGCTCCTTCTTGCCAGCACAATGATGAAACGGAAAGAGCAAAGCACAAGGAACCAAGCCATGAAGACCTGGATACCACTGTGTGTGAAACCAGGGGGGTAGACCCAAGACGATCATCAAAGGTCCTTCTGCCTGAGACAAACTATGGTTCTAAACAATGCCAGCCAAAGTCCACCAGGCTCCCTCTCTTTCAAAAATAACCTAACAGAGACATAAGGGTATAATTTAGTTGATAGAGCCCCTGCCTAGCTAGTACGCACAAGGCCTCAGGGTCAATTCCCAACAAGAAGAAAAAAAAGTCTCAGTAATTAGCAATGCCACAGTAAGGTTTTGGGGGATTTGTTTATTTGGGGTTTTTTTTGTTTGTTTTTGTTTTTGGTACTGGAAATGGAACTCATGACCTCACGCTTG